CCTGTCCTCTCTGGGCAGCCAGGTCTGCCTATGTCCAGTTTCTATGGCCAGGCTGTGGTCACTGAGCCGGTACTTCGTCTGTACTTGCTGTTTAGAGTCGTTCATTTCTAAGCTACTTGTACTGCCAACGTTTAGCCTATCTCTCTCCGGCAGGGACTTGACCTTCAGTTTACAGAGTTGTTTGCACCCAGAAAACATACGTTGTTAGCATAAAATAAGAAAGCCATTTTTGCTTGAGCATTTTGCTTGGCCTAGCACGGCAACGATTCAGGAAAAAGGCCAGGCAGTGCCCTCGTAAAACGACATGATTTAAGAATCCCCGCAGCCGCACTTAAGTCGATTACATGTATCTGTAAATGGCCTCATATCATGGCCAAAGGACTCTTCTGAAAAATCGCAAAGCCCAAAGTACATTATTCTAAGCTTTCACTTTGTCGTTGTCAGCCAAAACCCCAAAACAAAACACACTTCCTTCACAACAAGCGGTGGGTGAAATTCCGATACCCGCCCACAGAGCGACGGCACTGTGCGTGTGTGTGTCACACCGTGTCCCGTCCGACAGCCCGGAGCTCCCCGGCGCCCCCGCAAGGTGGCGCTCTAGCGGCGCCCTGTTCCCGCTGGAGGAGCGCACGCCCCCGCCGGGGTTAGCGTGCCACAGCCGCATTCAGCAGGCCCGGAGTGTAATTAAAGTGACAACCAGCAGAGGCGGCGGTAGCGTCACCGCCTTGTGCAGGGTGTTAAGATCAGATCAGATCACTTTATTGGCCATATACAATTTCTTGCATTAGGAACCCCAACCTGCTCTCCACGAGACACACAGACAGGGAGAGAAGCTGGGGGTCAGAGTGCAGGGTCGGTCATTTATTCAGCACCCCTGGAGCAGCTGAGGTGAAGAGCCTTACTCAGGGGCCCAACGGAGTAGGATTCCTCTGCTGGCCACGGGATACGAACCGGCAACCTTCCAGCTACAGGTGCAGATCCTGAGCCACAGTACCACCGTTTTTACGATCTTCCTTGGCAATGTGCTGCTGACAGGATGCGCTTTAATTTCTCTGTTTTCCATGCATCCCGTCCCCATGCAGAGAATAAGCATCCAAGCAAACCCTTTCCACCCCGAAAAAGAAAATCTGTTTACTATTTTTTAACGTGGATTAAAACCTTTCATGGCAGCGATATACTGGGACAAACGTCTCTGATGTTCTTGCAGTCTGTCTCTGGGGCAGTTGAGAAAAGCACGCCGGACCCGACGAGCGCCTTTCGGCCAACGGTATGACAACGACGCCTTGCACACGGCGAGTAATAGGTACAAGTAATAGGTTTATTCCCTGCTGAAAAAAGGGAGAAAGAAAACACAACGTTTCGGCCGTGGAGCCTTCTTCAGGTGTGAGAGAGACAGGGCAGTAGGCAAAGGTAAAGTAGCGGGAGAACAAAGG